ACATGCATAATCATGCATACATGCATGCATGCATGCATGCATACATGCATACATGCATACATGCATGCATGCATACATGCATACATGCATATATATGTATATATATATATCTATGTTTATTTATTTTATGTATTTTTCTAGTTACGCAAGTTCCTTGAGAGCTGGCGAATGGCAGAGGGGCTGCACCATCTACACGCAAGAGAACACAAGACAAACTGCTTGTGTATTTGGAGAACAGCTTGGTTCTCACCGGCGCAGCAGATGCTGGGCTCCAACTCCAAGCAGCAAACATGAAAATCAAGTTGTTTTCTTGCCAAACTTCACAATGCATACCAGGTCCTAGGTGGAGCCTAGCAGGAATGGCAAGCCTTCGCTTGTCAGCTTTTTCCTTGTCTCTCAGCCTACTCTTGGGCTCAATCTTGTGTACGTACAAGTTTGCCAGTGTCAGTTGTTGTCAACGGTTGCGCGGGTGCTTTGCTGCGGATCGGAGATCACAGCAGCCCAGAGCTTCCTTTTTAGATCCTGCCCCCCGTCACTTCTGGCTGCGGGATCTCAGCAAAGCTGAATCCCCTCATCCTGCATAGAGGCTTTCGAGGTGTTACATCTACGCCAGACAGGTCTGATGCTTTCTGCGGTCTTGGTGCCCTTCATAGTAGCTCCTCTTTGCAAGGATCTCGATGGCTGTGTGAAGCCAACTCAATGTTCCCGTCAGAGCCTGCCTGACCCTGCAATCACTGTGGCTCGGGCAGGCATAAACGTCAATGCCGGCAACGGTTTCTGAAAAAGTTACTGGCAGATGAACGAAGGGTCTGGTCCTGTTCAACGAAGTGGGTCTTGTCATGACGAGATTTGCTCTCACCTGACCACGGCAGCCATTGCTACTCAGCCCAGTCCAACCCCGAAGCGCCTTGCGGATTTCCGCGTCATGTGTCTTGGCTGTGCTGAGCTGGGCGCAGCTAGGGGTGCATGGCCGGGGTTTCTGTTCCTGCACATGGGTGGGGGTAATTTCAACAGCCTGGGTAAGAAGCAAGCTTTCAGCGCTGCTTCGCCGCGCTTCGCCGCGCTTCGCCGTGGTGGCCGAGGTCTTCCAAGGACCTGAAGAGACAGTCCTCCGGCGGCCTGAAGAAGCAGGGCTCGAACAACGACCTCGCAAAGAAAAAGAAGCAGACCAATGCAGACCAGCAGGCGAAGCAGCTAGAAGATGCGGACACTTGGGCATTGCAATTGCGCCATTGATGTGAGCACGTTGCTTTAAGCTCCTGGCGAGTGTGCAGCCGAGGAGAAGCCCATCGATGACTTGGCCAAGAAATACAAGACCAGCTTGCAAAAGGGCCTTTCCAGCAAGAAAGCAGCTGCCCCTCGCCTAAATTCAGCTTCCCCCTTGTAGGAGCAACTGGAGAATAAGTCAGCCCGAACAAGCTGGAAACATCCTGGACTTCAAAGTCTGCGACCGTGTGAGCCATGCAGAGTTCAGAGTGGTGGACCTTTCGAGACTCCTGAAACTCCTCTGGCCTCGTGGCGGCACCGAGCGTTTGCGCTGCCAAGGAGATCCTGGAACGGGACGGCTTGAATGAATTGGAAAAGCCTCCGAAGCCCACCCTGCTGATCCTGTTCTTGATGCAGCAGCTTGTCTTTGAGTGATGCGCTCTGCTCCAGTCGAAGCTGTATCTTCTCGGCCCCAGGCTCACCAGCTTCATCATTGTGCTGCTCATGGTTGCAGCAGTCGCCTCCGTGCTTGTCAATGCCACGGGTCCGAAGGCTGCAGACCCGCTGTCCTACACAACAGGCTCGCAGTCAGCTCGCAGTGCCTTCTCCCAGTCCGGTCTGCTTCCTCTTCCAGTTCTGAAACCATCGAAGCTCGCAGCCAGGTATTGCCATCGTTCTCTGGCTGCAAAAAGAACCGTGGCATGCGTGCTCTAAGCTTGGGTGCATTATTAGGCCTGACAGTAAGCCAGCATGTTGCCGGCTATCGCTTCTTGCCTTCTAGCGGCCCCTCTGCACGTCTCTTCGGTGCTGTTTTAGGTGGAAAGCACAGTGGATCACAGAGCCCATGACCGCAGGGAATCATTGTCCTCATCAACGCCGGCATTGCTGCATGGACGGAAGCCAAAGCCGGTGATGCACTCGAAGCGACACTCGGCCAAGTTGCGCAATGCAACCGGTGATCCTTCCAAAAAATGTTCCGTCCGAGATTTGAAGATTCTAGCGGCTGCAGGCTGGCCCAGATGACTCAGGCCAACATCTACGTGCAAAGCTGAGCCTGCAGGGATCTGCGGGGCTCTGTCGTGAAATGAAGTCCATGGCTCAAGCAGGGTGGTACTGCAGCACCTGCGACAACAGGAACGCTTCGACTACTCAACAGGGCAGCACGCAATTCCATCTGGGACATGCAACCTACGCATCGGATCCTAAGTCCTAAGCATTGGATCAACCGCAGACATTGTCAGCCATGGTAACTTGGAAATGAGCTTCGCTTCCCTTCTGGAGTTGGATCTGGCCGTCAAACTCTTCGAGCTGCTGGGTCCCGTGGGGACTGCGGCCCTAGATGTGGCGAGCAAGCAGCACCTGCATTCCATCCACGAGCCTTGGCTCCAAGAGAAAATCACCAACTGGGCATATAACTTGCTGCTTCTTGCGAGCTGTCGGAATTCGCAGGCCGAAGCCTATTGGAGCAGGGCTCTTCGTGTCGAGAGCGACTGCGAAGACCTTGAAGTTGAACCAGGCGCGTTGGGTGCCCAGCAATGACGCCTGAAGTGGCTATGTCTGTAAACCAGCCAGCAAGCAGTGCTCCATTGGCAATGTCATCCCTGCCAGATCCTGGCGAACAACCCCGACAATGCCTTTCCCGCTCCGTCTTCGCAAGATGCCGCGGGCAGGACGCAATGCAATGCCAAGAGCGGATTGAGGAAGGTGAGAATAATACAAGGTGGATTGTCGATATGCCAATGTCATTTTTTGGGCATCCACTGATGGGAAAGTCTTTTTTTGGTGGTCGGTGGTCGCGAACAGTGCCAAATGGCATGGTGTTCTAGGTCATAGTGCACATGACCAAGACTTCAAGAAGATAGCCTAGAACATCAGATGTGCCGAACACAGGCGGCCGACAGCACGCTAAACGAATCATCGAATGCCGCTTGCAACCCGGGGCCACAGAATGCCACAAGAAGATCCACCCAATGCAACAGCCCTCTTCCAGGAGCTGGCCCGCACAGGCTGGGAGGGTGGGGGAGGGCAGGCTGAGAGCAACTCAGCCTCGAGTCAGGTCGTCGAGAGCGACTGGGCGCTGCTTTGGGCAAGCGAGGCGGGCACTGCAAGCTTTAAATGTTGGCGGGGTCCCGATGTTGAAGTAGCTTGATGGGGAGATGATGGCACAACTACTGCAAGCAGACATCTCTCGAGACTGGATTATCCTCACGAGAGATGATAGTGTTACAGATAGTTGCGAGCCGCAAGCGAGCCTTTGCGCCAAGTGAGAGAATCGGAACCTGTCGCTTGAACCACTGTGCAGACCTCGAGTTGTAACAGTTGACAAACGGGTGTACAGGAAGCCCCGTTTGGCTATGTGCTGGCAAACGACAGGTCTACCCCTGCGTGGTGACAGCCGGCTGTGCAGTGGCTACATTCAGTCAGGCACGTGCGCCTACTGGTTTGGTCGACATTAGTAGCAGAGCGCATCTTCAATTCGGTTTTCAAGGCTAGTTTCACGGATTCACGTAGACTTAATTCAAATTAACCCAAAAAGCAGCAGCAAGCGGTGGGATGGCCGCCCTGCTTCACGCCCATCCAGTTCAACAGTTTTTACTCGAGTCTTTCTTGGTTCAGCCGAGCTCCCTGCGGTGCGACTTGGTCAGCTGGGCGGGTGGGAAAAGCAGTTTACCAGTTTACCAGTGCAGCCACTGCACGTATCTTGTCGGACGGACAGGAGTCGGAGACGTAAATGCCATTGTTGCCACAATGGTGACCGGGCAGCATTTTGGAGCGTTGGGTTTGTCGCAAGCCAGTTTCTATCTGTTCACCCCACAGAGCCCTACCTGCCTCAAATCCGCGCAAAGGTCGAAATGGATTTCTACTTCTGCCAAACATCTTACCCGCAGGAGCGTGAGCGAGTCCTGGAAGAAAATTTCGAGCAAGCAAGAAACGATGCGCTGGATGCGGCGCATGCAGGGGAGTCCACTTCAGTGAATCATCTGGATTATGTGGAGAAACTGAGCAGTGAAGACATCTCTCAGATGTGCAAGGTGCGAGCACTGTGGAGGCTAGCAAAAGCCTTCTGCGAATTCTGGCGTTCTCACGAGGACGCATCAATGGACGATGGTTTACAGACCTTATTGGCCAATGCTCCTGTCACACTTCACGAGCGCATACGCTGGTTTTGGACTTTTGCCCAGAACGGCAATGCGACAGATGTACCGCCACCACAGGTCTACGAACAATTAGGCAGGTGGTCCCACCCCAGCCCATTGTAATAATCGGCAACAGGTTTGAGCTTGCTGCGCCCTTGAAGTGGGTGGGTCCCTGAGGCATTTCCGTCCGTTCCGGCGAGCCCGCAATTGTCCGCCGGGCCCGGCTGCGTGCGCAAAGTGCCAAAGAGCAAAGTGACATGGAGGAGAGCTCATGCCATGACCATGCAAAGTGGAAATGCCATGGGGCCCGAAGCCGAAGGCCCAAACGCAGAAAATCTTACTCGCTCAGCAAAGTGTGGCAGCTTTCCTTTCTCTTGGGTGAGCTGCAGCGTGGCGCTTGCAGGAGGCCCTGCGCGTGCACATAGAAGCAATGGGCCGTCTGGCGCGGGACCGGGACGAGCCATGCTTGTGCTTTTCTGCTTGATTTTGACAGATTCTGCTTGCCTGCTTGCCATGCACATGATGTCGTTTGCACTTCGAGGACGAATCCTTGCAAGACCACATCATGCTGCCGGCAAGCCTGTCGAGAGATGAGCGTGCATTTCTTCACCGGATTGCAGGCGAGCGGCTCGACGTCAGCTGCCCACAACAGCCCTCAGAATGCCAATGCCGGTGTAGTTACCTCCGGTACATTAGCCAACCGTGCTTTGAACCTGTTCTCCACACTTGGCTCTTCCTTGGCCAAGGCTTGAGCTCAACCATGAAAGCGTGGGAGAAGGTCCACACCGAGCTTTGAGGATTTGGCGAAGCACATCGGAAACATGATCATGAGTCCTATAACCCCAAGGTCACTGTCGACTCCGCCAAGCCAGAACATCTACAGCCCGTCAAAGCCTGCCGCACGCTCCCTTCATCAGCGTGGATCGCACGTAGGTGTGGAGTTGCTTTGCGGTGAAGGATGTTTCGCCGTTGAGCGAGGTAGATTGTTTGAAGCCATGTCTCTGACAATGCGGTTTGACCCGCAGTGCTGTTCAACTTCAGGAGTCATACTGGTGATCGCATTGCTGCAACAAGCAGACCTACAAAATGTGGGCAGGAAATATGGCATGGCAGAGCTTTGCGATGAAAAGGCTTCGGAAAACATGGTCTCAGCCCAGCCTTGTTTCTCACGTGTCATTACCACAAACAGGGCGCAAGAAAGGAACTGGCCCAAGGTGCTTCGTGATGGCAAGGAAGTGCAGATCGCTGTCCCGACGGTCGTCGCAGGTGACATTGCTTCTTGGCGCGATGCTCTACACAACTTGAGCTTGTCGTCGTTCAGTGTAGTGACAGCTTTCCGTATGTAAACAATCGGCCAGCGGCGCAATGGTGCATGTGGAAGCATAGCTGCTTTGGCATAGCTGCAGAGAGTTATATACTTTTCCACCCTTCTAGATGAGGTTGTTCTTGGTGTTGGAGATGTTGTTCCTGCCGATCTCCGCCTCTTCGAGGCATTCCGTCCGGTTCAGCTGCAAGACCAGCATCGGAGCTGTCTGCGTGAGTGTCGCCACAAGTTCAGAAGTGCAATGCTTAGGAGGGCCTATGGCAGGGTATGTGGGCTGCCGGGTGGGGCTGGACGTGGTGAAATCAGCCGCACTCGGTCACTGGCGCAGTTGCAGCAAAAGAGAAGCAGCAGTAGCAGTGGCAGCCAGAAGCACTACTGTACTCACTTCACATCGTTGTGGTAGCAGATGATGGGAACTGTGGCAGTATTTGTGGTAGCAGCCGCAGCAGCCGCAGCAGCAGCAGCAGCAGCAGCAGCTGCGGCAGCAGCAGGAGCTGGAGTTGGAGCAGGAGCCGTGACATACTGGTCACTGGTGATGATGGTGCTGCTGCTGCTGTTGCTGCTGCTCCTGCTGCTGCTGCTGCTGCTGCTGCTGCTGCTGCCTTTAGTGGTGGTGTACACGACGACGACGACGACTACGACGACGACTGCTACGACGCCGGCTGCTACGACGACGACGACGACTACGACGACGACGACTACTACTTCTACCGGAATAGGAGTCACCATGGAAACGAACAGGAAAACAGGGTTGCCAATCAATAGAAGAGCAATAGAAGAGCATCCTTCAGGCCCAAGCACTTGCCAGAAAGCGTAGCAATGCTTTCTGGTGTGCTTTTCAGATGTAGTAGCAAAGGGAGCGCCAGCACTGTCTGGCATGCGAAGGGGAATCATGGGAATCGTTCCTCCTCACTGCTACGAATGAATGTCGGCCGGGTGGCGCGACAATTTGAGTCTTCTAGGTTTACGGACATCAGCCTTAGCATGTAGGAGCAGCCATCGCCACGATGGCACCCGGCTAGCCCTCCTCAGCTCAGCACTCCCTTGTCCAGGCCAAGGACTTCAAGGTGAGCGAGATGGCTTTGACAGGCAAGAGGTTTTGTCCAAGCAAAAGATGCAGCCAGGCTCTTCGGACAAGTGACACTGCTACGAAGCTGTTTGTTCGAAGCAGGGCTTCGCACCATGCCAGTTGAACAAACACGTCCGACGAATTTTGCACATCTGTGGGAATTTGTGACATGGCAGGCGAGCCTGATGATGTGACCAAAACCAGCAAGGTGAAGGAGAAGAAGGAGGGCCCGGAAAAGCTGCCTGGCTATCAAGCACTGCTGAACGATTGCCAGCGGCTCCCTTCGTACCGTAGTTGAACTCGTATGCAGTGCACCGGTGTGCCTTGAAGATGGACTGATAAATCCTTTGTACGTATTTCTGCAAGTTCCATTCGTTCATCCATGCCGGTGCGCGGTGTTTCTGATGTGTTGTCTTGAAGCCTACGCGAAGGCTCACCCCGGAGACGATGGCCTTCTCGGGGTGCAGCGTTACGAGTGGAGCGGGCCGAGGGTTGGTAACGGACACGGGTATGGGCACGCGCCGCTTGGCCAAGACTGTGAGACAACCTTACAACGCGATATGCCTACGCCCAGACCTGTTGGAAGGGACATCGGACAAAGGGTACGAGCCTTGATGTCCTCGGATCGACAGGCATTGGGCGAATTGCCAAGCTCATTGCTGGTGATGCTCCTTGACCTGCAGATGTTCGCAGGGACCGAAAGTGTTTGCAGAGCTGGGATCTTGTCGCCTTAAGTTGGAACTCAGGAAGGACCGAAGACGACATGCTTTTGCTTCCCAGACACGTCCGGCAACCAAACGCCGCTCCAGCAGAGTCTCAACAAGCTAGGCCGGGTTCCTTGAAGCTCCCCATTGGATGTCTCGTGGATCGTCGTCGGCCACCTTGCTGTCGTGGGACCTCGATGCAGCTTCACAGCTGACGGAGCTGGTGTTCCAGCTGCAAAGGCTGCGGCCGTTTCTGTGCGTGCAGGCGCACGTATCGGCATTCTGGCGATCATCATCTGCGCTGCTTGACTGCCCTTGCACATGTTTGCCCACCGACACCAGTGTGCAGGAAGCGGTAATATGCGGTAATCGCAACCTTGAGCAAGCCTTGGCTTTTGTGCACGACCGCCAGTCTACGGTGCTCAAGGTGTGTAGGAAGTAGGATGCCGTAGGCGTGTAAGCCGGCCCGGTGATGGAGGAGGACTTCGATGCCTGCATAATCGGTGCTGGCCCAGGGGGTTTGTCCGCCCTTTCATCCCTGATTGAGCCGTATTCAGCCGATCAGCTTTCACAAGACCAAGTCACAAGAGCTGGTCAGGGATATGGTTTCCAGAAGCGTCGGGATCTGAAGATCTGTGTGATAGACCCCGACCCATGGATGAAAGCATGGCACAAGCGATTCAAAGCCTTGGACATCCAATGGCTTCGATCACCAGCAGGAGCCCATCCAGATCTCTTTGACATGAGAAGCCTGCTGGCCTATGCAGTGACGAATGGTCGAACCGACGAGCTGCTAGAGTCAGGTGCCGTGAACCAACAGCTCCGATCTTTGGGCGAAGCCCATACAGGCCTTTGGCACCTACCATCCAATCGTCTCTTTGAGGACTTCTGCAAGGACCTGACCAAGCGCCTGCCTCATACGTTCGTGCGTGGCACAGCTGCTGCCGTTACTGGCAGCGATGGCGACTTTACCGTGACGTTGGCAGACGGGCGAGACCTGCGCGCCAGGAATGTGGTGCTCGCTTTGGGAGTGCCGGGCCCTCCAAGAGTTCCGCCGGCCTTTGCAGACTTACCCAAGCACCTGATGTTCCACTCAGATTTTGAGCTGGGATCTCGCATGAAGGAGCTTCGGGGGAACAAGCAGGTTCTTGTGATCGGTGGTGGGCTGACAGCAGTGCAGGCAGCGCAGCTTGCATTGAAGAATGGTTGCCTCGTCACGCTTTGCAGCCGTCGTGAGCTGAACACTCGCCACTTCGACGTGAGCCAAACATGGTTCGATCGAAGGCAAGCAAATCGGCACCACTACAACTTCTTTGAGCAGTCCTTAGACTGCCGGCTGAAACACATCAAAGAAGCTCGTGGCGGTGGGAGTGTACCGCCGATGTACATGAAGGAGCTGCGTGACGCAGAAGCTAATGGCATGATCGAGTTGAAATGTGTGGAGGCGAAGGTCGAGTCAATTTTCTCCGACTCTGTCCAAGTGCGGCTTGGCAGTGAGGTGAAGTGCTTCGATCTGGTGGTGAACGCCTGTGGTCATGCCCCGGACTGCCAAAAGCTTCCTTTGGTAGGCCAGCTGCTCAGGGATTACCCTGTGGAGGTTGTCGGTGGTTTTCCGGTAGTCTCGCAGGACTTGCAATGGGGGAGCTTCAAAAAGCTCTTTGTGATTGGTGCCCTGGCATCGCTTCAGGTAGGCCCAGATGCAGGGAATCTGATGGGTCTCCGCCGCGCCGTGCACATCGTTGCCAATGTCCTCGGCCTTCGCGAGTGGCTCAAGGACACGAAGTCCGTTCTTGGAAACATCCGGGGGAACCGCTATGCAGCCCTCGGCGACAGCGACAGCGACAGTGGCTCAGAGAGCTGCTCCGAACCGGGCAGTGACGAGTCGGGAGGGTCTAAGTCTCGAAGAAATCTGGAGGAGGCCAGCACAGAAGCCTCCAGTGAGGGCCTCGGCCCGCGCAGCCCCTCCAAGGCGTAAGCTGCATGTTCAAATCTGAGCAAATCTGCCGGTTTTGCGCCTCCCTGGCCTGTTGCCGGAGGATTAGTCTTGTATAGCTAGATGACTATTATGATGCATCAGCTCGCACAAGCGACTGATTCAACAGAGGTGCAGTTCGTGAAATGCCGATGAATTCTTTATGCACGGACAGCGGTTGTGGCGCCAAATGGCGCGGCTTCAGACGACATGTATCCGCCGCGCGAGGGGTGGCTTTCGTGGATCTGTGGGCAGAGTCTCCTTCCCGGAAGATCAGAAACTGACACAGGGCGTGCGCCGAAATCCAAAGTTTAAAACGCCGGCTTGGCCTTGCGCTGCTCTTCTCCAAGTGTGGCCATGCTATGCCTAGCCCACCAAGGTGGGAATTTTTATCATCGGCTGGGTGACAGACCGCAAGGACCCCACGAACCCAGAGAGTGCAGTGCCTGGGCTGAGCTGAAATCAGGTTCAGGGCCGTCAAGGTCCTGTAGGGAGGTTCATAGCCGTCATAGCCGACGGCTTCTTCTGACCAAGGCCTGGTTATACATGATCTTGATCTCTGTTACCCTGGCCGTGGCCGCTATTCCAGAAGGAATTCCTCTTTGTGTGACTATCTCTTTGCGACTTGACTGGCTTCGGATTCGGGGAGGGGGGAACAGTGGCAATGCATGGGCATAGTGCAGACCTTGCTGGCTCGTGGCACATCTCGTCAAGCCCAGGTCCATCGGCTGTTCTGCTGCTTGCTGGCATAAGAGATCTTGTCCAGCTTTCAGGCTGACTGAGGTCAAACGATGCTCTTGTTTTTTTTGGAAATTGACGAAGCCCAACCCCCCGAGAGATGAAGTGCTAGCTGAGGACATGGTCTCACCCTCAGCTCCATGAGCTCCAATTTTTGATCATCCGCCATCCGCTCTTGGCTCTTTGTGAGGTCCAGCAGGAGGTGTTGGTCCGAAAGATTGCGGCCGTGGAGACCCTGGGCTCTGCTTCCGTGATCTGCAGTGACAAGACGGGGACGCTGACGGAAGGCAGGCCCTGATAGGCTCCTTCTGAAGCAGCCTGCTCTACCCTGCCCTGTACAGGAAAGATGACCATGGTGGGCATGTATGCTGCGGGCGTCACCTACGAGGTCACCGGCAAGGGCTTCGACCCTGAGGCCTTGCAACGTGAGCATCCCTTGGCGGCAATGACATGCAGAGCCTGGAGGCAGTCGAGAGTCACGGAGAGTTTCGCAGGTGGGTCAAGTGCAGCGCTTGGGATCCACATCGAACGCTGGCAAAGACATGGGCAGCTCGGCTAGTAGAGGGTTCAGCAGCACACTGTCCTGAGTGTGTGTGTGTGTGTGTGTGTGCGAGTGCGGGCGGAGCATATCCGAACGAAGCCGCGTTGCTCAGGTGTGAAGAGCAACCTGCTGACGGCGGCTAAGTAGCAACAATTTGCCCTCTTCCGGAGCACCTGCTGCGGTGACTGGCTGCCTGCAGTAGTGCTGCTGCAGGCTATTCTGTGCTGCAACACGACCCTCTCAAAAGAGAAGGATGAGGAAGGTGTCCTCAAGTGGACCCCGAAGGCCAAGCAGGGAAGTGAATGCGAAAGGGACCTTTCTTCTCCTCTATGGTCAGTAGGATTAGAGGTAAGCATGTCATTATCATACCTAGCTGCACTACACGCAGACATATTCGCAACCAAGTTCGATGATTAAAAATCTCCAAAGATCTCCACTTGTAGCCAGGGAGCATGATTGGGCATCGGTATTCAAGGCAGTCTTCGCAAACAGGGGTCTCTACTTTCGTCGCCTGTATCTCTCAGCACTGCCTTTGTCTGACCGGAACCTGGCAGGGAAACTCTTCTGAGGCGCCCATTGTGGTAGCAGCCCGGAAGGCTCGGAGCAGTCGATGCCCTTGCATTGCGAGAGGAGTGCCAGCCTTGGGCAGGTTGGCCTCTCCGAAACCATTGCCAGTCCACCGGATTGCGATCAAGGGGAAATGGGGACACACATAAGCCATCCTTGTGACACCACCCGTGGATCGGGTCCTGTCCCGTCCCAGGCGAATATCCTCGAGCGCTGGAAGTACCATTCTCATCATCGCGAAAGATGATGTTACGCACCTTCAGTTTTGGGGTTTGGGAATCTCGTGTTCTCTTGGGTTCCATCCGGGTCTGCCCGGCTTGCATTGCTCTGACCCTGTTGCAGCTGCTCGCACGCGCTGGTCGCCAGAGGGCCTTACGTCGTTGCGATTTCCAGAGCGTGCGTCCTGCACAGAGGCCTCCCTGTCGCAGCTGAGGCTAACCGTTTCGAAGGTCAAGGGCACAGAGCTTTGCGCGGGTGGCATGCCGCTTCCTGCAGGACTGGGCCAGCCGGCCCTCCGCAATTGCTCAGCGGCACATCTCGCAAGCCTGCGTGAGCTTGCAGGAACTCAGTACCTGACTGTTTGCAAGGGCGCCGGGAGCAAAGATGTTGGTTGAACGAAGAAGAAAGACTCTTGGAAAAGTGCCAGCCGTGCCAGCATTGCCCCTAGGCTCCCAACTACATTGTGGAACTCTGCAAAGAGCAGCTGAAGGAAGATGGAAGCAACCCGTCTGAGTGCATGGGGAAATAAAACACCGCGGGCCATCGGCGGGAATCCCAAGACGACTCCAAACCTGAGAGCCCTAGCAGGCGTGGGAAAGATGACCGAAGAGGACAAGAAGAAGATCTACGAGGTTGTGGATGGCGACTGGGCATGTGAGAACCACAACATATCTCGAGTAAGGAAGTAGTGTTCTCAGAGCGCCAGAAGTCGGCATCGAAGCTTAAGGCTACTCTGCCAAAGCTCTTCGTGTACTGGCCATTGCGGCGCGGCCTATGTCGAGCCTGCCGCAACACGGCGTCTGCCAACTCAGGGCTGCGAGCAGGGATTGTTGAGTCGGGTCCAGGCCGAAAAATGCAGGGGACGGGCAGTTTGGGTGGCAATGCGGATGGACAGCTGCCGAATTCATCTGCTAGTCTCCAAGGTATGACGAGAGCAATGAGGATGTGCCCCGACAGGAGTCAATTGTGCGGAGGTCTTGGCATGGTAAGTCTACCGAAGATCAGAACATCCGAGCATTACTTCGTGCGAGGCAAGCCCTCGCACCCCAGGGGTAGGTAAGCCGGGACTGATTGCACACACCAAGATCACCACGGACCAGAAGTTCGAAGCCTGCCGCAAAGATCTGCGGCTTATCGGGCTGGTGGCCTCCATCGACCCCGAACGCTTCTCGGCAAACCTGAGAGCTCCTGAACGCAGAGTCACTTTCCTCACTCGGCATGCGTTGGCTCCGGCTCGAGGTTGTATTTTCAGCTAGAGCAAGGAAAAGCCCTAGGCTTGTTCCGCGAGAGGATGCAGGCATCTGAGAACCGAAGCTTCGCAGGAGCCCCTTCCGAGGGAGGAGGGCCAGGCAACCCAGGAGTCCAAGCGACGGAGGTTGCCGATGGGGTTCTCCGTGCAGACCCAAACCTGGCCGAGATCAGTTCCGAATGTGGGCCGGCTCAGAAGGAGTTGGCTTCTCCGTAGCCATTTTGGCTCAAGATTTTGCTCCGAGCTGTCCTCTGTACAGATACCACCTGGTGTTCACTCTTCAGCCATGCTCTTCGGCTTCTTCCGCGTCTACCTGGCCACTTGTCGGGTCGCGATCGGCTACTTCCGTGGTTCCTGGGAGGCCCATGCGCAGGCCAGCAAGGAAGTTCAGGAGGAGTGTGTGCCGCTCAAGACCGGGCCCACCGCTGTCCTCAACGTCATCGCATACATGCCCTTCATGCTCGTGCTGAACCGGCTGGCAGGGTTCTCGCTGGAATACCAACGATTCATCGCCATCTACTCCTTGGCGCCCATGCTAGTGATGTGTTTGTGCTACTACTACTACATCTTCCGGGCAAACATGTTCCAGTTCGGCGTCTCGGAGGTGGCGGGCTGGATCAACAACTGGGTCATGGGCACGGCAGTTGCGATGGTCTCTTTCACGCAGTTGGCGCTGCGCTACCTGATCCTTCTCTACCTGGAGCGATTCCTTCCAAGCTGGATGCAAGGCTACATCGAGTTCCCGTTGAGTACAATCGAGTCCAGTGTGCAAAATACTGTGCTTATCATGTACGCAATGGGGGCGGTGCTGCTTGTATCGTGTCCAGTTTGGTGCAAAGGCTTCCAGGTAGTGCATGATGTGCTCCAGAGAGAGAACCACCTGAGCAAGTCGGAAGCGATCATGGAGATTCTGTACACCACGTCGCACAATGCAGTCGTGACACAGCTACAGACGGCCTTGGCCATTCTGCAGATGAACTGTGGCTACCCGTGCCACTACATCCACTATGCCGTGGTGATGGTCGAGCACATGTTTTTTCATCGCATGGTGGAGTTCAAGTTTGCGTGGCTTCACAAGTTGTACCACGAGGTTCAGCCCTTGTACCGCCTGGCTCACTTGGAACATCATATTTGCAAGGGTACCTATGCAACCACTCCAGCAGCTGGAATTTGGGAAGCATGGCTAGAAGGCGGCACTCTCTTCTTCTGCAACAGCCTCGCCTGCATTCCTTACCTTCTCTTCCACGCCGCATATTCCGGTCCTAATGTGGTAACTCATACGATGTGGCCGCACAAGTCGTGCATTCAATGGCACACACTTCACCACTTGGTGCATAGTGATGTCTACGCCATCAATGTTCCCAGCAAGATGGACAAGCAGTTCTCCAGGGACGTGAAGCAGTATCAAGACAGGCTGCAGTGCTCGTTCTTTGTGCGCTACGCTGATGCGTCGGATGGGATCGGATTCTTAGTAGCCTTCGTGTTCGGCATCCTCCTGCACTATGGGTTTGGCGTCGGGGTTTTCCAGGTGTGGCACGAACGAGTGCTTCATATGACAGCATGATGTGACCAAATTTTGAGATTCGTCGGAAGGACTGTTCAAAAATAGTCTTCCAGCTTAACCTAAACCCTTGACGCGAAACTGCTATAATGGCAGGGTTACAGAACAGTGATTCTTGGCTTCGGTTCTTCTGACGGATCGACCTCACCACCTCCTCAGCTCATCTCTGCAGCGCAGGTGATTATTGCACCAAATATTGGTGCCTTGCCCTTGCAGCTCTCGCAGAGCAAGGGCTTGGAGTGCCGAATTTCCGCTCCTAGACCCGAGAGCGCGCACTTTTACAGAAAAAAAAGTAGAAACATACTGACCGTAAACGGTTGTTCAAGGACCGAGCCTCCTGCTCACTCTTGCTCCGAAGAGGTGCAGCAGTTTGCTGTAGGCCTCAGGGCTGAAACTGTACCCCGCTTCTCTCCGTCGGTACAGCATGTCGGTGGCCAACCAACTGCTGGCGGCAGTGTGTGCCTCAGCTCAGGTGACGGCGTTCCGCAGTCGGTTCTCCAAGCACGTGGTGCAGGCGGGAAGGATCGCAAGAAGGGACTTTATTAAAACAAACAAGCACCTTCTGTTTTAAGAGAGATTTGTTGCACAAAGTGGCTCGGGCTCGCGGGCATGTTGAACCATAGCCGTAGCCAGTCAACAGAACGAGCTGAGACGCGAAACAAGTGGGGCAGTAGACAGCAGGAATTGACCATAACATCAGCCATTGCCAGTGACGAGAGCAGAACCAGAAGCACCCAAGCAAATCTCGTAAGAGGATGCCTCCAATTATTCCAATCGCTCCAACATAGGACGTTCATTGCGACCTCGGGGAAAATTAAAGTCGTCTGCGCCACTCGCCCCACTCGCCCACGCGTGCCACTTGCGTCACTCTAGGCAGCCGGAACGAGTGGAACAGGTAAGGCATAGGGCGAGTGGAGCGAGTGGAACGATGAGAACATTGATTCATCGGCGCCCCCAGAACAGTGCGACTGCACAAGGGAGGGGGGCGAGGAATTGAAGTCGCCCGCGCCACTCGTGCCAATCGCCAGTTCCGCCGTTCGCCACTCGCACTGTAGACGAAAGGAATGAGTGGCAGGTAACGTACCGGGTGAGTGGAACGAGTGGAACAACTGGAACAGTGGAACGAGCGCAACGGTGGGAGCGAGCGGAACGAGTGGAACGGTCGACCTCATCGTCCCTTCCCCCCTCCCCGCGCCGACACTCTCGGAAATCCTTTGTCCATTTTTGTCCACATGCGTTTTGCTCTCGAGTTCGGGACTTTTGGCCCCTCCGGAGTATGTTGTAATTTGTGCGAGGCATAGCCAGATTCAACACTGATGTTACGAACCGACGTTTGTGTCCGTCATCACCTCATCCAGCAGTTCTAGTCTGTTGTCAAGCGCAAGAGACGACGGTATGCACGCTGCCGGCTGTCCGAACCATGAGGCCGAAGACAGAAGAGCCACGGTTTCCGCGAATTTATACTTGTGTTTCAGAACCAGCATGCTTCGAAAAGCGCAGCAGCGCTTGTTTTACATGCACGAGCTCTTTCCAGGATGAAATAGCTAGGTTTGAGCTGCTGACTTGGAGTCAGCTGTAAGACGAAGAAGTCGTAAGACAATTCAAAGCCAGCCCGAGCCACCCACTCGGCAATGTGCCAGGTATCCGCGTGGTCATGATCACGGGCGACTATTTGCTTACGGCTATTGCCATCGCCAAGAATGCATCCTGACTGCAGGAAGATCGTCGAGCTTCTGCCGAAGCTGGTGTGCCCATGGCAAATCCCAAAGACCCAAAGAAGGGCTTCCAGCTTGGTTGCCAAGAGGTGAACATCTTGCAGCCAGAAGATGACGAGGAAGTTTCCGCAATGGACTGTGCTCGGCTGCGTCCTGATGGTGAGTACTTGGACAACTCGGCCGCTCGGATAGAAACCGAAAGCATCGAAGCTAAGCTTCGATACTGGGCCTGCCAGGAGATGGACAAGCTGACTTCCAGCGTCCGCGTGTTCGCCCGTGCCAAGCCGGAGGAGATGGGCTCTTCGAACTGCGGGGAATGTTGTGAAGCCTGAGTCCCTGTAAGCTGTTGCCGATGCTTGTCCAGGACAAGCTGGAGATCGTCAAGAGCATTCAGCGTCAAGGCCGTCGTGAGAGATGTCACGCTTGGTAGGAGGGTCTGCTCTGACAATTTGTTCCCCCATGAGTTGTTTGACAGGTCAAGTGGCAGCCATGACAGGAGATGGAGTCGCTCGACCACGACCGGGATTAAACAGTCTGGAAGCGCTGTCGAAGTAGAGGAACAACGATCGGGCTGGGAAGGTGTGGTCTGGGTTCGATTCCCGCCGAGGTCAACGACGCGCCAGCTCTCAACCAGGCAGACATTGGCGTGGCCATGGGCATCCAAGGTACAGAGGTGGCTTGACAGTCGAGGATTGCCGTCATCAATGGCTGTTCCTGGATGTTCCTGGCATGATCTTGCAAAAGCGCCGACTTGTCGTCAGGTTGCCAAGGGCGCTTCCGACATGTGCCACGGCAGTGTTATTGCAGGAAGTTTTCGAGAGACGCCTGCAAGTTGACAGAGTTGTATTATTCTGGAGCCCTCGGTCTGTCAACATGTCGTACCATCGGCTTGGGACTTGCAGGGTCTTGACAGACGACAACTTCTGCTCCATTGTGAAAGCAGCGACTTGGCAAAACTGCCCGCCCCATGCGTCTTTCATCCGGCGGAGCAGTGGCAGTTCAATTTTTTGAGGTCGAGAAGGGCCGTTCCATCTACTCTGGCATCCAGAAGTTCGTGGCGTTTATCATGTCAGTGCACATTGCCGAGGTCGGCTGCAGAGTTGCGAAGTGTGCCCATTCCGGCGCATCTTTCCTGTGAGCTGAGGTGATGCAAATCTTCCTGTGCATCGTGGTTGGAATTCCCGTGCACCTGCATGTTCTTGCAAACATGTCCGCTCCAGCTCATGCTACTTGATCCACGGCACACGCGCACAGCACGTCATGGTTTATTCGTACTACAATAACATGCACCCTGAAGGACCGTATTACGCTCTGATTGTGATTTGGCGCGGCAGGTGATGCGCACACCTCTGCAGATCCTTTTCCTGATTCTTGTCACCGACCTGCCTCCTTCGATTGCTCTCGGTATGGAGCCAGGCCGAGAAGAGCAGGAAATTAATGGGGTTTGTAATGGGGATTCCTGGGGTTTTAAGGAAGATTTATGTGAACGAGGGTTTGCACAAAAGCCACCTTACTACGGGAGGGAGTGTTTCTGGAACTGTTTGGTGCTGACAACTTATTGCAGTGGTTTGGAAACCAGAGGGCTGATACATATGCCACTGCCACGACTGGCGAGCTGGCACAAACATGAAAACCCTATTATGTTTACTCGGATTGGCTTGACCGTAAGCCGAGTGGCTTTGGAAACCCGCTAAGTTTGGTTTTGGTGAGGGATTCTCAGCTGCTCTCTCCTACCCATTTCTGGACTCATCATACTGATGGCAGTGGCCACGATTCCTGTGCAGCTCCCCGGGCCAAGCTTTAAATGCCTTGTGTTTGCCTGCGGACAGGTCAATCTGCCTGTGCTGATAAGCTTAGGCTTAGGCGTGCATCGCAGTCCTTCGCTCCAGATTCGGGGTCAGCAGTTGTTTTGTGAGCAGGGCCATAAACAGAGACCTGTTCATCGCCTGGGGGTTTTCAGAAGAGGATGCCCTAAGGCCCTAAAGAGGGCAGGCGCAGGTAATGCTGGTGTTCAATCCTCAGTTGCCTTTGGAAGCGAAACGCACCATGTTCCACCCGAGGATTGGAACAGGCTTCCTAGGTCTTGATGCAGAGTTGTATATATGCGTTGGCGACGAGGTCTTAACAGGGTTTGGTGGATTAGATATGGGTGACGGTTTGAATAAGTGTGCGAATGTTGCATGATTTACCGTACAGACTGTGCGAGAACATGTTATTATCAGCCGCTTTGTGGCGATTGTTGTTTCCAACTGCATGGTGATTTTTCTTTATTTTGTTTTACTTGCCGCTGTTGCTTTCATTCATGATTGCCGGCACTACCCATGACGGTCACGACGGCTCTTGCTATCATTTTACCTTTTGCTCGTCCGTGCAGTGCCGTATCCAGGCGATGCTTTTGTTGTTAGAGGTTGCTTCCTTACGACTTACGACAGGCGAGGCCGACATCTTGGAGCAGCGCCCGCGACCAAAGGCGGGTCGCTTGCATTAGCAGAGCTAGTTGTCATCATCGTCGTTGTCCTCCCAGACATTCGAGCTCCCGTAACGTGACAGCCACGATCGGAGATGCCGAAGTGGTGACATCCTGTTGTGCTGTGGACCGTTTCGGCACCTGTCAGGAAGAGCCCATTGTCCTCAACTGGAGACTCGGACACTGCAAGAAACGACAGCAGAAAACTGTTGTTTTGATCTCAGTACAGAGTCCAAATAGAAGCTCTGAGAAGCGTGCAAAGCTCGACAAGGATGTGGTTGGCCATGGTCATGAACGGAGGTGTTTTGACAGTGGCTCGGCTGCATAAGCCGCCAGCAGCAGCAGTTCATGTGATAATATGTGCGGCCCAACACTCACGGCTGCTAGCCTTTGCATATCTGCATCTTTGAGCATTGCAAGTTCTTCAGAGTTCTGTCCAATTCCAGCTGCACTCAGCTTGTCATCGTGGGCGTCTACCTCGTCTCCCTCATCAACTACTGCGAGGGTGAGATTCTTCAGGCAAACATCGGCCTGCTCGAAGGCACTTTCGCTGAGCCGGGGAAGTGGGATAAGCACTTGATTTAGATGGATTTATTCAGGGCCTGTGCTCAGAGTGCACAAGGTTGCAAACTTCAGGCGCGAGCCAGACAGAAGCCAGACTTGACTAGTTGATCGGATTGCAGGGAGGAGTGTGCGATACCAACTAATGATGCTACATGTTTCCTTCTCGCATGGCAGGGATCTATGCCCACAAAGTAATGCTACATGGGTGGGTAGGTTTGTGGGTGGATGCGTGTCTGCATGCGTGCAGGTGTGCAGGCGTTTCATCACACGTAGCCTTCTGTAGAACGGGAACCACTTCTTCGTGCTTCAATAGGCATCTAAGTCGTGACCCTTCTAAACCTCCAAGCCCCTGCCGCCCAGACTTCGAGATGAAGCGACCTGGCTTGAACGTAGCTTCGGTCCTGATTTTTCTTTCCTAGCTCAAAGCCCTCTTGTCGAAAATCTGCCATGGACGAGGCTGAGCAAGGCGCAGACCGTGGCTTTCATCTCCTTGGTGTGGTCGCCTGCTTCAGTAATCAAGTGGCCAGAGCTGCCGGACATCCTGAAAAGCGGCTGCTTTGGACACATGACCTCAGGTCCGAGAACATCCGGGCCTATATCTCGCGATCTTTCACAAACCACATGTGGAAGGATATTTTCGGGAACAAGCACATGCAGAAGGTCGGGCCCGATTTCGTGGGACCAGGGTCCAGCGCGCGTGGATGGACTGTGGCAGGCCATTGTCTTGGCGCAGATCTGCCTCTATGCGGTGCCGCCATCGAGTGCTTGCTACTTCCGACTTTGCCGTAAGCCGCGTAGAGTTATGGAGGGGTTCTGCGCACATCTGCTGATACTGATGGATGCCAGGCAGTGTTGACTCCCTATCTGTCCGACAAGATCCTCGGCCTCCGTGGCTTGGAGATTGGCCAGGCCCTCAGAGGCAAGGCTACCAGATGCCCCTTGGCCTCTGCGACTCGACTCGCAGCTTGCAGCGTTCTTAAGTGTTTTTCTGCCCAGGCGCGTTCGGATGGGCGCTGGCGATCGCCGGCCCTGTGGGCTGCTTCATCCTCTCAGAGGGGTGCAAGATGATCAGCCGGGGGCCCCACAGCGCAAAGCGGCAAAGACAGACCGGTGGGACAAAACTGCCTAATGCCACGGGCTGATAGGTGCCTACCAACTGAAGCAGTACCAGGCTCGATTGTCCAAGACAAGCATCTTACGGCATTCCATGCCGACTCTTCTCAGTACGGTCAGCTATTTCTCAGCTGACCCAGTTGCGGAGATTCCTTGCCGGCTGCTTCGCCTGTACTTTGCTCCAGGATTTCCTGGCAGCGAAGTTCGAAGCCTCGAAGGTGAAGGATTCCGGAAGACCGATGAAGGCTCCTCTCCAAGTGCAAGTTAGCAGCCGTCTCTTTTCTGTAGCCCTTCTCCGGATGCAGGCCTCCGCGCTGAAGAACAAGCCGCCGGGCGGCAAGCGACGGCGTGAGACGAACTCTTCTAAATGGCATGAACAACCATCTCGCCGACTCAGGAAGACGATGGACACACCGGAAAAGTCCGCCAAGAAGGGCTGGTGCTGTTGGGTTACTTGACCTGCAAGCATCATCTAAAGCACATGAGCAGAACTTGCAAGTGGACGCACAGGCGGCCGTTCTTGGCCTAGCAGCCATTGTGCACAAGACCCAGGCCTGGTTCTGATGGGCGTCGCACAGGCATCCAGCTGTGCTTCTTCAAGGAGCCTTGCCATCGTCAGCAGTGCTTCATTTTGCTTTGCCCGTCTTGGCAGGAGCAAGCAGCACTTATCTTCTCTGTCCACCTCGCGTGGGCTCGGTGTTCATATGCCAGCGAAAAGCCCGTGAAATAAACTCAGACACGAAAGCAGTGTGTTTATGCTCCAAGCTGTGCGTACTTTCAGATGGGCGCATTTAGTGTCTGGCGACTTTGAACAGCTGCCAGAGAGCAAATGCCTCTGGCGATGCTTTGTCATCGTGGGTTGAGTTTTTACGAATCCGCTTTGTCTTCCACCTTGCCGAGACAGCCAGCTGGTCTGCGCCCCTGCCGGATCGCTGTAGTGTCTGCACTGACATTTGAATTAGAGCCGAAGTGTGGAGACTTGAGACTTGACCCGACGGGCCCAATCTCTATCAGTTCAACTTCAAATCCAATCAGATCCGAGAGCGGCTGTGCAACGACATGTGGTCATGAACGAACGGTCAACAGTACTATGGACAACACGATGATCCAACGGTCTCCACTCTGCGGTTCGTTGAAGATTCCCGGCTGGTTGCTAAGCACTGGCCTGATACTCTAAGATGGCGGCTTCAGGACGTGCCCCATGACGACCAGACCAAAAACACTTCTTGTTGCCTTGCGTCGTGATGATGAAGCCGCACTCTTTATCTGCTTCTGTGTGCCTCCTCGTCGCATTGCATGGCTGTCGCTAAGCACACAGCCACTTGCGATGGGCCCGGTTGTGTCCACCGCTGCCCTAGATTAACTCGATATTGCTTGCTGGCGCCAAAACTAGGACTAGGATGCGCCATCCATCACCCCAACCCTTCCGGTGGCTCGGTCGAGGCTACACACCAAGTCGCCAGTTGATTCAGATTCATGCTGATTCCTGCAGATATCTTGTTCCAACCATTGCACTGTGTGCCCAAGAAGCTTGACTGCTGCTTCAGGTTGCAGGAGAATCATTCCTTGCAAAGCCTGCACAGCGTAGTCGGACTGAACCAACTGGTTTTCTCAAGTTATGCTGCTATGCTGTGAAGTCAGTCGCCTTATCGCTGCTCGTCCAATTCCAATTCGCAACGAGCTAGGAAAAGGATGCAATTAACATGAGGGACGCAAGTAGCTCTTCACATCTTCAATGCACTGACAGCGTGACGTGGCTGCTTCAGAGGATCGCACCAGTGTGTTTGCTGCGCGAGCCTCGTGCAGCATGGTTCCGTGATGAAGCTGTCTTACCTTCGCTGACGGACATCGCGCGAGGGGAACCGCGAGGAAAAATGGAAGCGTAAAGCCGTGGAGGCCGTGGAGGGTACGCAGCATCAAAAGGATTCCAGGGACACAAGAGGAAGCAACATGAAATCACATGCAACAGCACCTCACATTCTGTCTCTGTGGTCATGTCTGCGCTCCACTCACCAAGATCCTGATTGCCTCGCTGGCCGCCGGTTCTGTCAAACCCGGACGTGATGCGAAGCAGATACCTGTCTGCATCAGCAAGCTTCTTGATGTTGAGGGTCCTGTCTACTGAACGGAGGATAAACAAGGCATAGTCGATGCCATATTAAACTCCGATGCAGCACTCTCAGGCTTGGCCGCAAACGCATGCCCAAGGTGGCTGGGTGGCTTGAGCCGTGCACGAGCAACAGAAGAAAAGTAGACTCCCATTCTTCTGCATGTGCTGTCTGGTAGGGGCCTTGTGAAGTGCAGCGGTTAGAGTCGCAAACGTTGATTGATCCTGCAGCCCATTGGCTCATGACAAATGAGCGGGCACGGGGCCCGGCCGGTGCAAGAGCCGGGTACGGAGCTCGGAGATCCGACTCTGTGACGTCTCCGCGCACATCATCAGACCACCTAACATGGAGCCCATTCGCCTAGCAGCATGACGGCTTCTTTCGTAGCCCCCGAGAAACGACCTTGAGGCCGGCGATAGTTGATGTCCTCATCTGCACGGCTGAAGTACCGGATCGTCAAATGCACCTCTGAGGCCATGAATTCAATAAACGTGCTGTTTCTGTAGACGAGGGCTAGGCTCAGCATGGCCTTGGAGTTTGGTGTTGCAGGACCCCGAGTACCCAGCGTCCGAGCTCCTGACGCATTCATCCCAGACCAAGGGATGGCAGACCGCTCGCTTCTGCGACTTCCCGCAGGAGCTGATAATGGAAGATGCGTGGAAATGTCAGGGACACGTGATGCCGCCTCAGGAGATAGGGCTGCAGTTCGAGACGCCAGTCCACTTGCGGCAGGCAGGAACAGTGGCAGCTGTTTTGTGTGCGAGGTGCTATCACCGCTTTAAGCTAGGCACTCGCCCAAGCCTTGCAGCTCTACTGCTCGAAATCGTCCTGACCTGCCCATACGACGTACAGATCGCCTGACAAGCTCGAGGCAGCAGGCAAGTGGAAGCTCGTGCATGTGAACAACAGCAACTCGTGACAAAGTTTGCAATGGCAGATGAGCCTGAGCCCTCCATTCGTTGAGGAGCTCATCCCCTACGACCCGGATGAATTTGATTTCGTGTCAAACGTTCAGGACATACTGGAGCCTCCAGAGGCACACATCGGAGACCTGGAGCAAGCAGAGGGGGAGGGTGCGCTCGCGGCCCTGGGCCAGATTCATCGATGGTTTCCACACAGCGGCAAGAGACGGCCACGCATGCGCTGCCAACTTGTGCACGCTGACTTCATAGAAACCTATCATCGCTTCGTTCGCACGGTCGTGAGATCGAATCTCGAGGAGGCGGTCGTCCTTTTCGAGCGTTGCCCGAATCTGCGAATCCAATTAGCTGGTGAAAAATCCTTAACGGCTCCTCACAGGGACAAAGACCATCACCATTCAGAGGCTGAGCTGAACTTCTGGGTTCCCCTAACGAGGTGCTTTGGTGGTGCAAGCCTCTGGGTCGAGTCTATGCCGGGGAAAGGCGATTTCCATGCTCTGACTGTCGAGCCGGGCATGGCAGCGCGCTTTTATGGAAACCAGTGCTTGCATTTCACCAAAGACAACGACACAGACCTCACCCGAGTCTCGTTCGACTTTCGGGTGGTGCGACTTCGGGACCTGGGCTGGTCACAAATACCTCACCCGGGATCTCCAGAAGCAGCGCGATGGATGATTTTTTCGTACTATGATGTCATGGGTGCCCACGGTCATGTTCTCAGCCCGCAGGAGTGGGCCAGCCAAGTGGCACCGTGCCTGCCCGATCTGTCAACAACCGCTGGAAATCAATATCACCAGCCACCTCGGCCAAGCAGCTGCCGCCAGCGCTCGCGGTCGCCAGAGCACCTCAAAAAATGCGAGGCAAAGTGGGGATCTGCGAGACAAGCGAGGAAAAACTGCGCGCGCTGTGGCTGGCTGGCCAACCGGGCACAGCTTGAACAAGTTCTTTGCTACATGGATTCCAGTGGCATCACAAGGCCGTGGGTTGCGGAGAATCCGGACAGCTACCAACCGTGGGGTCTGGGATGTCTCCTCTGTCATCGAGCCTTCCTGGCGGGGCCGAAGGACGAAAGTACTCCCTGGCCTTCTAAATCCGCTTTCACAGACTTCACGTATGGGCTTGGAATGCCAGGGCTCCTGCAGCAGCCCCTGTATCGGCATGGCAATCATGCCCGGCTCCAGGCCGCTGGTCGCAGTCAAACACAGCTGGTGCTTCCGCAGAACCCGGAGCATGCAGCCGCAGCCCAGACTTTACGATGTTGACTTCGAGCTGCTTCGGGACGCAGACCATGAAGGCGAGGTGTGCAGAGCTTCGAGGAAGGCGGCTTCATTATGAAAGTGAAGCCGGCATCCGGAACCGCTGGGGATGAAGACACCAAGCAGTCCAGCTTGTCGGAGGGATGCAGCAGAAAGGGCAAGTTGATAGCAGCCATTGTGCTTGAACACTGTTGCCTCAAAGGCAACCCTGCCCGAAAGTCCAGCCTCTTGACACGCAGGTGCAGTTCTTGTCTCATCAGAGTAAGTGTTTCAGCTGCACCGAGCTTTGCATGATGGGGGATGGGCCCGGGATTTGCGGAAGACTGAGGGGTTTCATTGCGTCCAATAATCTCTAACTTGCGAACCAAGGATAGCGACGAAGATCGACCTCTACACCGCGATGCCTGCTGCAGGCAAGGTCGAATCGCTTTTGGCCAGATCAAAACTCAGCACGCCTTGTTAAGGCCAAGCCTCTACCTACGATGCTTTGAGCTTTAAAAGGCGTGGCAAACTGAGTCAGATGGGCACAGCCCCCTTCCCGGACCGGACCTGTGCAGGTTAGGCTACCTGTCGCTGGATAGTAATGAGCGCTCCCAGTTTCAAGCTCGGGAGCTCAAAAGTGTTCCTCGCCTGCATACAAGGAACACATGTTCACACATCTGTGTCTGGCTGGTGACCCCTTGTCTGAGGTGTATGTTGACGTGGCGTCCTCAGCAGGCTTTCCTGGTACAAAAACAGTAGAAGGTAGGTAGCTATAGTGGTAGGACCGGTGGGACATCATGTCAGTAAAGCGCGTGCTGAATGAGGTTTCTGCCCAATTCATGAAGATCTTGTTTCACAAGTGCCCCCGACATGTTTCACATCAGACCTCTATGTAACGAGTGAAGAAGATTCGGCTCCTCTCGCAGGTGCCATGTGAACCGGTACAACATCGTGAACCAGGCTCCAGCATGCTCCAGCCAGGTAAACACTGGTAAAGCCTTTGCGTTCAGGTTGGCCTCATAGCGCTGAACTGCTTGGGCGAGGCATTAGGGCTCCTTGGACCGAATGTGCGACATCGGTGAATCGAGCGGCGTTCATCTACTGATCTGCTTGAGCTGCAGATGCAACATTCGTTTCTAAACAGCTTTTCGCGGTTTGACACATGGATTAATTAGTCATACGTCTAAAGTTGTGATCCAGCACCACTGGATGAACAAAATTACAATGGCCTGCCTGCTTTGGCTTCGGCACAAGACAGCACAGTCGGAAACCGAGCCTTTGCCCAGCCATGTCGCCGCATCAGATCATCCTGCCGTGCTCCTGGCATAGCTGGAACTAACATTCGAGTGCACAAGATTTAGTGCGATGGGGCGACGTGGGTATGTAGAATCGTCTGCAGTCAAGGAATGCTTGGAGGCAAACGCCAAACAGCAAACTTGTGCGTTGCAAAACATTGCACCAGGCAAAACGTCGCTTCTAAGAGCATGATTGCGGCCGCCCACAACTATTCTCCAAGAACGCTTACTTCATCCAGGAGACCGAAGTGATCGGCTTTCCGCAGAGGCTTTCAAGGCCCGCTGCAAGGATGACGGTGGCAAGAAGGAGGACGACAAGGATGGTGGTGGCAGGCGCAAGAAACGACGACAAGGACGGAGGGAGTCGCCGCAAGGATGACGATGGCAAGAAGGAGGACGACAAGCATGGTGATCGCGACCGCAAGGACGACAACAAGGATGGTCGCCACGGCCACCATCGCCGCCACAACAAAAGTGGAGGAGCAGGCAGCTTGTGCATTTTCACCACCGACAATCTGGAGCTTATGGTCATCACGATCACTATGTAGCTTGCCAGCAAAGTCGACTGTGCAACCTCGGTCTTGTCGGACCAGGGCTTTTAAACATCCGCATTCTTTCAGTTTTGCCCAGCGCCCCGTCCCGTGCATCAGCCGAGTGCTTGTAATGCTCGCACCTGGTAGCTTCACTCGAGACCAAATCTCGGAACAATGGTAGAGCAGGACAGAGATGTAGAAAGAATCAGTCTAAGTGGTGCTTGTCAATGTGGAGGTGCGTTTAGCTTCAAGACATGGGTTCGTGGAAATACCTCTGCCTGTGCGCCAGAGCTATTCCTGGCTGGGAAGGGCAGCATGCGTGAGAATTCGGACAGCATCCATTTCACATTTGGGAATCGAGAGCTGCCTTCGAAAAAGCCATGATATGGACACACCATCCAAGGTCACATCGCGACATTTTCTCGCTCACGCATTCCCGTTCTGAAAGAGACCCTGCGGCGGACCGAGGCCTGACCTGGCGATGGGGCCCCCGCCTCCCAACCCAGCGCTTGCGCGAGGGCCGGCAGCTTTGGTTAGCACCGGAAATCCGCTGACGATTCTTGGGATTTCGTCATGGCCCAGCTCAGGCCAACGAATGGCTACCAGCCACCGCAAGCATCTTCGCCTCCGCCACCACAGCCGTCGGTGCAGGACGTGCTTGGACGGCCATGGGCTATCCGAGCATCTTCTATGCGATTCGTGTGAGGTGCAACTGCTACCTGAGGTGGGCAGCAGACGAGTCTGAATGTTCGGAAGTTGCAGCCACTGGGTAAATGTCTTGTTTAAGTATGGTGCACAAATTTACGCAAATGCACAACTTGCCACAGGCAGCTTAACAGGTGACATAGGTGATTTTCGACTTGAGTGCAGTAAGAGGGGGGGGTCTGCCACAAGCTAGCAGTAGCAGTCTGGCAAGTGCAGGATGCTGCACAGGCTGCGGCAGATGAAATGCGCCTCGGCATCTTAAGACCTCCAACAGTCAGTGTGGGATCTTTTGCCGGCAGTGCCAAGACATGCCAAGAGTAGCAGGTGTTTCAAAAAATCCTGACTGCAAACGCGAAGGTCTTATGGCATGGTGTATCGAGCACCGCTAGCGAAAGGTTTGGAAGGCTGCATTCTGTACAGCCTTCACAGTTGGTCTAAGTTGTCAATTCTATGGAAAAAGAGAAATGGCAAGTGCCCGGTTTGCAACAATCGGGGCATGTTCAGTGACGCTACAGCTTGGCTTGCATTTTCTACCTCCCTCCTGAGTTGCCAATGTTGGCTTCATTACGATACTGATCTTCAGTCCCTTAGAACTAGGATGAGGAGACGAGGGTTGTCGCGTCCTCTGCAGAAGGTGGTCAAGTTCCTGAACACCCTACCGTACGGAGGTCGCTTTGTAATGCGGTCCTCAGGCGATACGATGCTCAGACATTGGAGCGAATCCGCTCTTTGTCGAACGCGAAGGCCGTACCAGAAAACCTAATGCATCTCGTGTGCATGTGAGGTACAAGTATAGCACGGGCTTCAGGTCGGTGTCATCCAGACACACTCCTGTTGCCAGTATTCAAGTCAAAGTCTTCCGCCAGGCGAGGGCGGTTGATGCCGAGGACTACGAGGAGGCGAAGCGTTGCAAAGAGATGCTGGCCAGGCCGGACAAACCCCGGTGAGGCGAAGTTACGTTTGACTTCATGTAATGTCGTACAATGTTGTACATCTACATGCATACATAAGTACAGAGCTGCCTACGTACGTACAGACATACATACATACATACATACATACATCCCTGCGGATATACCTATTATGCACACATACCACATGCACGCGCACAGATACATGCATACATATGTGCACACACAGAGTTTCCATTGAGCGCATGCAGTCCGTGTGTAAGGCTGCGCCAGACCGGCCTCCTGCTCCGAGAGCTGGAGGAATTGGCTTGCACTCCATGGCTTTTCGTTGTGGAAGCTTTTTTTCCAGAGGACCGGAAGAAGGCAGCAGTGCAAAACGAAGATTATGATGCCGCCAAAGCTCTGAAAAGCGAGATCGATCGGCTTCGCAGCTGGACTGCAGTCTAGCCTGGTCTAGCCTGAAGTTGGAAGCTGAACGGCCGGAGCAGCCGTCCTTGCCAAGGTAGTGCAATCGAGCGGCCAGAGGTACGGGCCGAGCGACCGCATTCCGGAAGGACTTGCGGCCTTGCCTTTGCAACGACCGCTTTCTTGCGAACGCCAAGCACTGCCGAGAGCATGGAGGAGTGCGCGCAGCAACAGCCTCGGGCCAAACAGTCGCGTGGGCCCCAGCTGACGGACAAGCTTCAACAAGGTTACCACTATCCGCCCAGTAGCCAGCCTTAAAGACTCTGCCATTGCCAGGTGCCGGTGCCGGAAGCCCCGATTTCGCCAGCCATCATAGTGCGCCTCGTGGCGGACATCAGCCACAAATGGTTCCGCTGAGTCAAGACAGCGAGGCGGGATCTTCAGTCCACACGGTTTGTGCAGTCGTGGAAAGTGTTCAGAAATGCATGTGACTCCGATTTGACAGCGCGAGGCAGTGATGCAAGCACCACCTTCTCGTGGAAAGCGCTCACCCTCTCCGAGTCTGCCGGCTTTCCCGTTGGAGGTGCCCATTGGGGCCCGGGCGGCAGCTTTTGCTCTGACTGTGTTTGGCCAGGAGGGCTACAGCCAGGCCGAAGTCCCGAGACGAGAGGCGAGTTCGACACAGCCACGAACAAGAAATTGTATCCCCCAAAAAAAGGTTGAGACCGGAGGAGATGTTCTTAGAATCCTTAGCCATGCGGAGGCAGCCAACTCTCCGCCTTTGCCTGCGGCGGGCGGGGCGCGAGTGGCGCGCACTCCTCCCCTTTCCGGCATGGCCTCTGCACGGAGCGTGGCCCGGAAAATCTTAAGGGGTCAAATACGGTTCCTACGGGACCCAGCAATGCGGGAGTCTAGGGCGGGCAAGTCGCCGGTATTCGCTGGCAGCAGTGTGATAGCTTGGTGACGGAACTCAGTGTGCATGGAAGCCTTTGCAGGCGGGAAACGTGGTGAAATGCCACGTGCCACAGCAGCGACATTTCCCGAGGCTCCTAAGGAGCTGCCACCGGAGCAGCCGCCGCTGTCTGAGCGCGGCTTTGATGCAGCTGACCATCCACTGAGCGGCGTGCCTAATGTGGAGGCGCCATTCAATCGAAAGTAAAATAGTGCTGGAGTCA